TAGGAGTTAACACTGAGCTCTGCCATATGTGTTTCCCACGTCTGAAAACCTTTCATATCATGCATTTGACTAGTTTTGAAGCAACTTTTGACAGCCACTGAATGGAAGTCTGTAAAATCTCTTTTAGGGGCGGCCAGGGAGTCCCCAACAGCTCTTCCCCTGGCTGCCCCGGTTTGGGGTGGGCCCAGGCCGCTCCCCCAGCCAGGGCAGCCTGGGCCATGGGGCAGACGGTGGATGAAATGAGGGCCAAGCCGGTTAATTGATCAGATGCCGTTTATTCCATTCTCCCCACGCACCTGCCCCAGTCTCCCTGAGCCTCCCATTCTAGTCTCACACTGCTCCTCATTCCCATCTCCTCCTGTCTCTCCCGCTCATCTCTCCATGCTTCATCTCGCAGCCTGGGCTCTCTCTCTTCATGTTCCTGCTCCTGTATTCCTCTACATCCTTCTCTCTCTGTCCCCGTGCTATTGCTAGCCTCTGTGCAGTTCATCTTGCCTCCCTGCTCTCTCCTCTCTCCAGCTCTTTTGCCTCCAACTCCCCAGCACTCTTGGCTGATACTGCACCCAGTCAGGTAGCCAAATCGACATAAGAAAGCCCTTCGGAACACCACCTAAAAGGTATTCCAAAGCCCTTCCTGACTGCCGGAGGGCAAAATACCCCTTAAGGTATTTTTCTCTTTTCCTCAGTCCAATAACTCAATCAACATCTCAATGCTAGTTATTTTTTGTATGGACACAGTAAGATATAACATTGAGGCTTGTAGGGCAGCTCTCCTGAGAACATCTTGTCACTCAGACTACAGTGCTCAGGCCAGATTAATCATTCCTAACCCTAGCAGGGTCCAAATATGGTTATTACTTTTTGAATCATGGCAGCATTTGTCCATGACCAAGCTCTTAACTTATAGTTAAGCATTATGGAACTTTGGTGCCCAGACCACCAGACCCATCTCAATGCCAGGGTAGCACATAGTTTACCGCTTGCCCTGGTTCCATCCAGTCCCTCGTCAGGACCCTGCTTTTGGAGGTGCTAGGAAGTAAAGGCAGCTGAGGCTTAGATGAGAGAACAGATGCCCAGAGGAAAATATCACTGAGAGTCACATTATAAAAGCAAGTCTTCTTGTGTCCATACAAAAAGGACATTGCTATGAGTAAATTATGCAAAGGACTTAAGGGGAAGAGAAAAACAATATTTATAAGTCAACAGAACATAAAGAAAGAAGTTACAAATAAACACAGAGGAATGGGAACACTGTGATGGGAGCAAAAACCTAAACTACCTGAGGCTATGCAGGAAGGAAAAAACAATGTTATCCTATAGAAGTCAACTGATCTCCCTACATACACACAGTTTGCATTGTTAGACCCCCTCCCAACCCCAAATGCTGTTGGAATTATGTGCTCGAGAAACCATCCTTAATTGTATCATAAATCACAGAACCTCAATCCAAAAATACTCTAAAAATATAGCATTGTCCTGTAGCACTGTCCTCCCGTTGTTCATTGATTTGCTCAAGCGGGCAACAGTAATGTCTTCGTTGTGAGACTTGTTGTTACTGTTTTTGGCATATCAAATACGTCACGGGGAGCTTGCCAGGCTTTGCCATGCAGGCGAGATACTCGAGGGATGGAGAAATCGAACTCGGGTCGGCTACATGCAAGGCAAATGCCTTACCCGCTGTGCTAAAAATGTTTTCTGAGCCTGAGAGGTAGAAAGGTGTGTATGGTGCTAACTTTGCACATGGCAGCCCGAATTTGATCCCTAGCACCCCATACTGTCCCCTGAGGCCCACCAGGAGTGATCCTTGAGCAGATTCAGGAGCAACTCTTGAACACCACCAGGAGAAGCTACCAAATAGCAAAACAGTATTTGCCAATTTAATAATAATATATTTTAGATGTATTTAACAGAATAAACATTTTTTCCCCTTTTAAAAATTATTTTATTGAATCACTGTAAAAAGCACAGTTATAAAGTTTTTCATGATTGGGTGTAAGTCATATAATGTTCCACACCTTTCCCTTCACCAATGTACATTTCTCAACACTAATATCCCCATTTCCTCTCCCATCAACCCCCCTCCCCCACTATCAGCAGCCTGCCTCGGTGGCAGACACTTTTCTCTCTCTCTCTCTCTCTCTCTCTCTCTCTCTCTCTCTCCCTCTCCCTCTCCCTATCTCTTACTCTCTTTCTCTATCTTTCCATTTGGGCATCATGGTTTGCAATACAGGTACTGAAAGTTTGTCATGTTTGTTCCTCTACCTATTTTCAGCACTTATTTCTTGTCCAGAAGTGTCACTTACTTCATGAGCCAGTAACCTAAATTTTTGGCGGGTTAATTTCTTAGTGAGCCTGATCCTGAGGTGATGGAGTCCAGATAAAGGCATGGTGGTCACTTTACAGTGTGTCAGCAAGCAAGTGACTTCTGGGACTTTGTTTGGGAGGGCACTGGGCTGACCTGGCCCCCTCTGGGGTGCCCCAGAAGATTCACCACTAAGCTGCTGTCCAAACACTTTTTGTGGATGGCTGATCTCTTTCAAGGTTTATTTATAAGTCTCTGAAGCAGAACCAGTAGATGAGCATATACATGGCACCAGAGGTGGTTTGTGGGCATGACTGCAGGAGCTTCCAGAGGTACAGGGGAGTGGGGGGAGGTAGGCCTTCCTGACTTCGAGAAAGCCTGGTGATTTCATTAATGAAGACCCACACACCAAAATTTTGTCAGATTAATTATTTGGTGAACTCAGTCTTGAGGTGAAGGAGTTCAGCTGGAGGCATGGCAGCAACTTTGGAATGTGGGAGTGAGCTAATGGCTCCCAGAGCTATGTTTGGGCAGGCACTGGGCAACAGTGCTGGATAACATTGGGTTGTCCTTGCTCGAGGCTCCCGCCCCACCTAGGGAGCTTAGATTTATTGAGCCACTCCCACAACAGTGCTCCTGAGGCACACCCAATTCCATCAAGTAATAATAATCTTATATTGCCTTTTTCTTTCCTTTATGCCATTTTCATGGCTTATTTAGCAATGTCCTTTTTGAATAGACATAGAAAGACAGATGATGCTATGCTTTTGTAACATGGGAGTTAATTGACTCCAAATAATATTTACTCCTGGACATCCATCATAGTTACCTGACTTAAATATCATTTGCCTTTACTTTATAACACCCCCCCCCAAAAAAAAAAAGAGTCCCAGTGAAGGGACTGGATGGACCCAGGACAAGATGTAAGTTGCCCTGGCATCGAAAGGGAACAAGCTAAGTGACATAAGAAGTATAATAAGTTAGATTACAGTCATGGAACAGACTGTCATGATCCCCAAAGAAGTAACTGAATGAGGACCTGCAGGGGTTAGGAAAGACTAACCTGGCTGAGGACTGTGGTCTGGAATGTAAAGAGAAGTGTTCCCAGGAAGAGCCAAGCTTTAAGCTTAATATATATCATACAAAATGACTAGAAATATTATAAGAAGTAAATTTACTATGATTGTTTAAATAGATTACCAGCTGAGGAAAGGAGAAAACAACACACCCTGGATGGAATCCCCCCCTTACCAGATCTCCCAGTAATCTGGAGTGCTGAACCCTCAGATGAGATTTTGTCCTTGAGTTAATCTCCTAGAACTTCCCCTGAAGGAGTGGTTTTCCCTCTGTTTGTTGTTATGATTGGCTGGAGATAGCACAGTGATAGGGCTTTTGTCTTGTGTGCAGCTGGCCCTGCAGAGCCGGTTTTGATTCCTCTGCCCCTCTCGGAGAGCCTGGCAAGCTACCGAGAGTATATCTCACCCGCATGGCAAAGCCTGGCAAGCTATCCGTGACGTATTCAATATGCCAAACACAGTAACAAGTCTCATGATGGAGACGTTACTGGGCCCGCTTGAGCAACTCAACAAACAACGGGAGGACTGTGACTGTGACCGTTGTCATGACAATGTTCATGATTTCCCACCCTTCATGATTTCTATATAACTATGCTGTAAGAGTTAAGATGGGATGAGAAAGACTAGATGAGATGATGTCTGGAAGTAGAGGACTATGAGACTATAACGAGATGAGGAAGAAAATGTAGAGGTAGAGGATTTTGAGGTGTACAAGGAGATTAGGGTGATGGAACTCTGATGATTGGGACTACGACCAAAACTACTTCTACAATTGTGCTGTAAGGGGAGAGATTGGACTATACTGGGGAGCAGAGAGAAATAAATTGACTACTGACCAGCCTGGGGCCCTGTTTCCCCGTTTCTCTGTTCCCCCGGTCCTTCGTGTTCCCCTGGTCCTTTGTCTGTCTGTTGCTGCCATGGGCCATTCTGGGGAGGTGGCTCTTGGCCACTGAATACTCAAGTCCCACACGTGCCCCAACGCTTTTTTCTTGGAAACTCACACAACACTTGGCCTTATTATTTAAGAAGTGACCCCCGTTATCCTTCCCCTAGCATCAACTCTCTGCTGGCATACCTTGCATCCCAGTCCACACAGTTTTTTCATGGAAAGCTTTTTATTTGATTTTTCTTTCTTGGGGGAAGGGGGGGATAACCAGGGATCAAACCCAGACCTCCTGTAAGCAAAACCTGATATCAGCTCACTGAGCTCTCTCTCTCTCTCTCCAGCCCCTATCCACCTTTTAATGTTGGGAAGGACAGAGTATAGGTTCAAGATTCCGAGCCCCACCACTGATTAACAAACTACAGAATGAGCAGCCAGATTGACTCTTAGGCCAGCAAAGAAACTTCTCTGGGACAGACCCATAGTACAGTGGGGAGGGCATTGCCTTGTGCACAGTCAACCTGAGTTTGATCCTTGGCACCCTATATGATCTCCTAAGCACCTCCAGGAGAAATTTCTGAGTTCAGAGCCAGGAGTAACCCCTGGGCACTGCAAGATGTGGCCCATAAACCAAAACAGAAAAAAAGAAACTTCTCCCTTCCCAACCATATCCCAGGAGGCTAAAAGACTTAAGACTAAGACTCTTTGTCCTCTTCCTCTTCCATGAATATAAGCATCACTAACAATATCTCCATATCCTGTCCTTGTTGTAATTTTTGGTCAGGGAACACCACTTTTTTCCAAATGCATCTCCGTCTTCAGTACATGACCTGTAGATTAATCGTCGGTACCAGAATGGAAATGCACATGGGGCCACATCTGTAGAGAACAGAGAAGCAGTTCAAGCAGTTGGGACCTAGAGCCCCCCCCTCTCTCTCTTTGAGGGGGTCTGCACTCAGCAGTGCCCAGGGCTTATTCCTGATTCTGTGCTCAGGGATCACTTCTGGTGGTGCTTGGAGGGCCCTATGGGATGCTGAGGATCAAACCTGGATCAGCCAAGTGCAAAGCAAACACTCTCCCTGCTATACCATCACTCCGGCCCCACAAGCTTTTCTCTTTTGCAGTTTCCCTCCTCGGACACATATGCAAGCCTGGGCACATAGATGAATTCACATGAACCTGTGTGTGTGCACATGTAAATATGCACACTTGGGTGTGCCCATGCTCACTTGCACACACACACACACACACACACACACACACACACACACACACACACGTACTTCTGCTTGGCACTACTGGCTCCCCTATAGTTCCCCCATCCTAGGGGATGGTGCTGATGGGTCTGTTCCAAAGTTCCTTTTCAAGTTAACACCTCAGAGCATGTCTTGGGGGCTGGCAATCGCATGCAGGCAGAGGAGTGTAAGGGCCTGATTATTCCCACTGTCTGGAGCTGTCTGGAACCTCCTTTCTGGAACCCGTCAGGCAGTTTCCAAATAGTTCAGGCTCAGCACCTTGGAGACACTCACCGTCCTCAGAACAGTATTTCCAGTAGCCTTGGTAAGTTGAGTTCAGTGAGCACCACCTGTGTTTGCTCCTTATGCGAATGCAGCTGTGGAAATAGGAGTCATCGTACTTGAACGGGAACATGCATTTACCCTCTGTGAAAAGAAAAAGCCTGGGTCCTTCTCTGGAAGAGAGGGGACAGATGACGAACACATCCTCCCTACTCAGCTGGCATTACCACTGATACATCAACCCCAGAACAGCTGTGCTGGCCCCACACCCCAGAATGTCCTCTGGATGGGCTCTTGCCCCACTCTCCCCAAATTCAGTTCCTGAAATGAATCTTCAATGGAAACTAAGTGTGGGCATCAGAGGCTGGAGACACAGGACTACAGAGAAGGCACTTGTCTTGCACACACAGCAGACCTGAGTTTGCTCCCCAGCACCACAGAGGGCTCCCCAAGTCCCTGCATGAGTGATGACTGAGTTTAGAGTCATGAATAAGCCCTGAGCACCATTGGGTGTGGTTCCCCAAAGCAACAGGAAGAAAAAAGCATCTAACTAACTAAATATGGTCATCAATCTTTAATGCACAGTGTTCCCCGAGCATTTTCTATAGCCCCATTCACCCAAACACCCACATAGGCACACACACACATACACTGTATGTATGTCTGGCTTTGTATCTTTCCACACTTTTCTTCAGTTACCACAATGATCCTATCTGGAGGTTTTCAGGGGACTGTGTGGGGCCTGGGATCAAATTCTGTGACACATACAATGCCAGGTATATGATCTGCCACTTGAGCCCTATTTCATGTTTTGAATTCCTAGGTAGCCTGTGATTTTGTCTAGACTTTCTATCATTTTTCTTGAAGCTTTTAAAGGCATAAGATATAGTAGCAAGACAGGAACTGAGTATTGAAAATGATATACCAGATAACCTTCCAGTATCTGTACTGAAAACGACAATGTTCTAAGAGAAAGAGAGAGAGAGAGAGAGAGAGAGAGAGAGAGAGAGAGAGAGAGAGAGAGAGAGAGAAACAGAGAGACAGGGAGAGAGACAGAGAGAGAGGCAGGCTGGTGCGGGGGGGGGCGGAGGTGATGGGAAGGGAAACTGGGGACATTGGTGCTAGGAAATGTACACTGGTGGAGGGATGGGTATTGGAACACTGTATAATTGATACCAAATTACGAATAGCTTTGTAAAGATCTCATAGTGGTTCAATAATAATTTTTTTTTAAAAAGCATGGTAGTGGGGCTGGAGTGATAGCACAGCGGGTAGGGAGTTTGCCTTGCACGCAGCCTGACCCAGGTTCGATTCCCAACATCCCATATGGTCCCCCGAGCACGGCCAGGAGTAATTCCTGAGTGCATGAACCAGGAGTAACCCCTGTGCATCGCTAGGTGTGACCCAAAAAGAAAAAAATGCATAGTACTAAAAATGTGCAGGATACAGAGGCAGTAAGCATCTTTCTAGAATGAGACTATTTCTCTTTGCAACAAATTTGTGGTTTGGTTCAATTGCCTTGGATCATGCCAGGGGCTTTTCAGCTCCCAACACTAATCTTATTTCTAACATTCATCACTATTATTTGATTCATTGTGTGTGACCAGGAGTTCAACCACAGGGTCTCAGCAGTGCCAGTGAAGACACATGCAGACCATTGACCATTCCAGCCCTGTTTCCCAGGTGAATGGTTAACCCTTGTTTTTTCTGTAGATTACCAGGATAACTGTTACATACTTACAAACACGAATAACTGTTACATACTTAAAACTGTTAACCTTGTGTTCTCTGTAAAATACCGGATGTATGGGTTTAACCTGTGTTCTGTAGATTACCCTAAATTTCATCTGTGTCTACAGCAAAACAATTCAGTACATGGGAACTATCAGTTGATACAACACCTCATACACTTCAATACAGACCCAAGAGATAGGATGTGGGGGTGTGGTGGGAGAATCAGGCTGCAGGGATGCGGGAATAGAAGTGGGGGGTCTTGAGCATAGGTACTGAGATGATAGTCTACATCAAAAGCATGATTAATGTCGAAGGGGGCATGAGTAGGAGGGAAGGATCTTGGACTGGAGTGGACACAGTGGGGGACTATCATGGGCACTTCGGTTGCAGGGTGGCCACTGTCCTTGTGCATTAATACCAGAAACTTGAAGACTATTATAACTCTGTCAACTAAATCTAGCTGAAAAATCATTTTAAAAATGAAAAAGATGAACTGTATGATAGGACATACAGTTCCACTACCCAGCCGTTGCCACACTCCAGGACGCTTTCCGGACCCGCGCGGCAGCTCCGGCCGAGACCCACGCACAACTGAAGACCCACAGAACAAGATAAGTGGAACTCTCTGAGACCTTGGACTCCAGGCTCGGCGGACCCAGGGACAGAGCTTCTCTGCTTGCTCCCCACCACCACAGGTGACAAAGGGATTCTAATCAGGAGCCCCACCCTACCCTGCCCTGTCTGCTTCCATCAACCACCCAGGGATCGAATTGTGCACAGGAGACCCACCCTACCCAGATAAATACCCCACTGGCAGATTTCCACTCTCGACACTACTTCCACTACCCAGCCGTCGCCACACTCCAGGACGCTTTCCGGACCCGCGCGGCTGCAAGCGGCCGCGCGACACATCATAAGACACTAAATACCCATCTTCTGGAATTGTCGTACCATATTTGATAGGGTTCAAATATGGTAACACCTACAAGGGTGATTAGAGGTCACCCCAAAAGCCTCTATACCTCTCGGAAAGACTGGCAAGCTACCGAGAGTATTCCGCCCGCACGGAAGAGCCTGGCAAGCTATCCGCTGTGTATTCGATATGCCAAAACCAGTAACTACAACTGGTCTCATTCACCTGACCCTGAAGGCTTCACCGACATGGCAGCACTGAGAAGGATGAGAAAGGAGAGGCCGACAAAATCTCAAGGCCGACCTAGGCTGCCACAACGAAGGAAGACAAAAATGATCGTCTGTACTTTCAATGCACGTACGCTAGCATCAGATGCATCCATCGAGGACCTGATGGTACAAGCGCGAATGATCAAGTACGACATCATTGGTCTGACCGAGACAAGAAGGCACGAATCTCACCATGCCGTTTTCGACACCTGAGAAGAATTGTTCCTCGGAACACGCGATAAAAGAGGTGTCGGAGGCGTCGGTGTCCTTGTCAACACAAACTTGGCCAAGAGCATTGATTCATTTGAATGCCTAACAACCCGAATCGGACGTTTACATTTGAATAGATGTGGCTCACTGCCTGCAGTTTCTATCTTCGTTGTCTACTCACCAACATCTCATTATGATGAAAGAGAAATCGAGAAGTTCTACATGGAGCTAGAGAAGTTCTATAAAGAAGACCACACCTTCTACAAGATCATTGTGGGTGATTTTAATGCCAAGATAGGACCGAGAAGATCAGCTGAAGAACTTCACATCGGGACCCATGGCCTAGAATGGAACGAACAGGGTGAAAGACTGTCTGAGTTCATCATGTCGACCAAGACCATTCATGGTAACTCACAGTTCCAGAAGGCAGAATCTAAACGATGGACATGGGAGTCTCCCGGTGGACGATTCCACAATGAAATAGACCACATCATATTCAATCGACGGTTTTGCCTGACTGATGTCGCTGTTGTCCCAAAATTTCGAACGGGATCGGACCACCGTCTCCTTCGTGCAAAATTCTACTTCACAGAGCGGGGAGAAAGGGCTGCAAAGTTCAAAAAGAGAACTCCCAGAATGACCACCAACTGGGAACTCTTTGGTACTATTGCGGCAACATGGGAAGATGCCATTGTTGACAACATTGACGAGGAATACGATCGACTGGTTCAGCACCTCCATGAATGTGCGAGGAACGCCAAGAGAGAGATAGCCACAAAAAGTCGCCTATCTTCGAAAACTCTTGAGCTAATTCACCAGCGTGGTTTGGCGCATGCCTCAGGCAACCGCAAGCTAACGTCCGAGCTTGCAAAGCAGTGCAGAGATGCGATCAAGGAAGACCTCAAAGAGAGAAGAGCAGAAGTACTGATAGATGCGGCAGAAGCCGGGAAAAGTATTCGTAACGCCCGCCTGTCCTTCGCCAACTATAAGACCAAGATGACTGCCCTCCGACGTCCTGATGGATCCATCACATCCTCCAGAACGGCAATGGAGAAGATTATCCATGACTTCTACTCAAATCTCTTCGATAGCCATGTCCACTTGCCGACATACCAAATTCCACAGGATGGGTATGTCGTTCCTAACGTTCTCCCTTCCGAAATCCGACACGCCATTTCGTTGGTAAAGAAGCAAACAGCACCCGGCCCAGACAAGGTCAGACCTGAACACCTGAAGAACCTGCCGTCAGTACTCATCAATACACTGGCTCGGCTCTTCACTCGCTACCTGTCTGAATGCAAGGTTCCGTCCCAATGGAAAACCAGCAGGACCGTACTACTGTTCAAGAAGGGAGACATCCATGACATTGGCAACTATCGCCCGATCTGCCTATTGTCTGTCATCTACAAGCTGTTCACTCGAGTCATCCTGAATAGGATTGGCAGAACACTAGATGAAGGACAACCATGCGAGCAAGCAGGGTTCCGCAAAGGATTCAGCACCATCGACCATATCCACACGGTAATCAAGCTCATTGAGGTTTCTCGGGAGTTCAAGATGCCGCTCTGCTTAACGTTCATTGATTTAAAGAAGGCCTTTGATTCTGTTGAGACGGAAGCGGTCATTGAAGCCCTAGCCAATCAGGGCATTCAAGCCCAATACATCAGGATCCTCCGTGAGCTGTATTGCGGATTCACTACCAGGATCTCACCATTCAACAAAGAAGTGATCGTTGATGTCAAGAGAGGGGTGCGGCAGGGTGATACCATTTCACCGAAACTCTTCAGTGCCACCCTCGAGAACATCATGCGACGACTGGAATGGGAAGGAATGGGAGTGAAGATAGATGGTCGGCAACTACACCACCTCCGCTTTGCTGATGACATTGTTTTAATAACACCAAACATCAGCCAAGCGGCACAAATGCTGGCCGACTTTGACCGTGAGTGTGGAAAGGTAGGACTACAGCTGAATCTTACGAAGACAATGTTTATGAGAAACAGCCTTGTTCCTGACGCCCCATTCGCTCTCAATGGAACGACCATCTCCGAATGCAACAGCTATGTGTACCTAGGTCGAGAGGTCAACATGACAAATGACCTGGCACCCGAGCTGCGCAGGAGGAAGAGAGCGGCTTGGAACGCCTTCAAGAACGTCGAAGAAATAGCTAAGAGGACGAAGAACCTCCGGCTCCGGGCACATCTCTTTGATTCCACTGTTCTTCCTGCATTAACATATGCCTCAGAGACCTGGGCCCTACACAAACAAGATGAGAACGCCATTCAGGTCTCCCAAAGAAGAATAGAAAGAGCTATGCTTGGAATAACACGTTTCACTCAAATGAGAGAACGAATCCGGAGTTCTGACATCCGTCGACGATCAAGGATCAGGGACGCTGTCTCATATGCCAAGGTGTCGAAAATCAGATGGGCTGGTCACGTAATGAGATTTAAAGACGACCGTTGGACTAGAGCTGTTACTGATTGGATTCCACGGGATGTCAAGAGACCGCGTGGCCGCCCACCTACCAGATGGTCAGACTTCTTTGTCAAGATCATGAACGATCGGTTTGAGGCCCTCCATGTTCCCGGAGCGAAGAGATGCCATTGGGCTACACTAGCACGCGACAGGGACAAATGGAGACGTTACTGGCGCCCGCTCGAGCAAATCGACGACTAACGGGAAGTTAAGTGATTAAGTTAAGTGAAGTATGATAGGAAAGGGAAACAAAAGAAATGAAAGAGTAGAAATATTTTTTGTTTGTTCCTGAATTTTGATGGAAGGGCTGACAAAAAAAGAAAAAAATTCACATTTCCCTCTCCCCACCCCCACAAACAAATCTAATCCTTGCTGATTCCTTCCCCATTTTTATGAAATAAAAGAAAATCGAATTTAATAGTGAAAGCGTTCTGTCAGCTTACCAGTGACTTCTACGTTTCTCCTAAGATCTGAAAAATAAAATTGAAAGCATTTATTTCTCTCATTGTTCTTTCTTTTGGTCAAGGTCTCTTAATGATTTGTTGCTCTGAACTTTATGTTCTGATTCTTCTTACTGATGCCGAGTTTTGTCTTCTCAGTGATTGAATTCCAAATGCATCACCGTTCCTGACTCTCAATGTCTTGTGTGCTCTCACCCATACAAAGAAAAATTGTTGATTGTTGTATATCACAATCAGTCAACATACTACCATCGAAATTTGTTATCTTGACTAGTATTTTTTTTTACTTACTCATCAAACATTTATTGAGTACTTACTTACTCAATGGAAGTAGGTGAAAGTTGTATTTATTTATTTTTATTTTTATTTTTTTTTTAAATTTTTATTAGTGAAACACCATGAGGTATAGTTGTAGACTTACAAATTTTTGTGCTTGGATTTCAATTATACAATGATCAAATACCCATCCCTCCACCAGTGGCAATTTTTCACCACCACAGGTCCCAGTATTCCTCCCATCCCCCATCCTCCCCATCCCACCCTGCCTCTGTGGCAGGGCATTCCCTTTTGTTCTCTCTCTCATTTTGGGTGTTATGGTTTGCAAAAGAGGCATTGAGTGGCAATCATGTCTGGTCAATAGTCTACTTTCAGCATGCTTCTCCCATCCTGGGAGGATCCTACCAACACTCTTTATTTGGTGCTCCCTTCTCTATCTGAGCTCCCTTTTCCCCTAGCATGTGTGGCTGGCCTCCAAGCCATGGAGCAAACCTCATGGTACTAATCTCGGCCACTCTTGGGTGTTAGTCTATTTTGTTACTTTATGTTCCCCAGATGAATGCAATCTTTCTATGTCTATCCCTCTCTTTCTGACTCATTTCGCTTAACATGATACTTTCCAAAAGTTATATTTATAAACCACAATTCAGAGTCCCTTCTCTGGAAGTTTTATTTTTTTTTGGAAGAGATTTAAAAAAATTTTTTTTTTTTATTAGTGAATCACCTTGAGGTACTGTTACATACTTACGAACATTCATGTTTGTGGTCATACAATCATCAGTTACCCATCCCTCCACCAGTGCCCATTCTCCACCACCAATGATCTCAGCATTCCCCCTCCCCCCAACCCCTCTCACTCCACCTTTGTGGCAGGGCATTCCCTTTTGTTCTCTCTCTCCTTTTGGGTACTGTGGTTTGCAATAGAAGTATTGAGTGGCCATTGTGCCCGGTTTATTGTCTATTTTCGGCAGCTCCCAACCTGAGCAGGTCCTCCCAGCACCCTTTACTTGGTGTTCCCTTCTCTATCTGAGCTGCCTTTTTCTCCAGCATGTGAGGAAGCTTCCAAGCTGTAGGGAAAACATACTGATCCTTATCTCTACTATTCTGGGGTGTTAGTCTTCTATTCTGTTACTTTATATTCCACAGATGAGTGCAATCTTTTTATGTCTGTCCCTCTCTTTCTGAGTTATTTCACTTAACATGATACTTTCCATGTTGATCCACTTACATGCAAATTTTATGACTTTATCTTTTCTAACAGTTACATAGTATTCCATTGTGTAGATGTACCAGTGTTTCCTTAACCAATTGACTAGTACTTGGGGGTTTTCAAAGAAGAAGGCCTTAAAATCATCGTGCCTCTTATTTTCTGTGTTCACAGGCAACTTGCAGCCTCAGGAATGCTAAATTTTACAAGTCACAGCTAGAAACTCTGTGTTTTCCTGCCTGTGTTTGGGATTTTTTAAAGTAGGGGTTCATTTGTTGGAATAAGCACTGTCCCAGGGGAATCCAGGATAGTGGTGAAACCAACTGGGCTGGCATCATCCTGTAAGCAGGGGCTGGACTGGACATGAGGGTTCAAGTTAGGATTAGGGCTGGAGTTGGGGTTGGGGTTAGGGTTAGGATTAAGATTAGGACTGAGTAACAGAGTACCGGTAGGGTGCTTGCCTTGTATGTGGCCAACCTGGGTTCGGTCTCTGCATTCCATTTTGTCCCCCAACTACTTCCAAGTACAGTAATTCCAAGTACAGTGCAGAGCAAGGAGTAACTCCTGAGAACTGCAGGGTGTCATAACCAAAAACAAAACAAAAAATGATTAGGGTTGGAGTTTGGATGAGGATTAGGGTAGAATTAGGGTTAGAGTTGGAATTGGCAGAGTCCTAACTCCAAATTTAAACAGCTATTCTCTGAAGGGAAAAATAGGTGAGTCTCAGTGACATATTTTCACATTAACTTTGTGGCCTTTTTCTGACTCTTTCAAAAGTTCAGTTAGATTGGAGAATGCTCCAGGTCCCAAACAGAGCCAAGATCACCGGGAAGTCCCAGATGGGGTAGGTGCCACATCCCGCCTTCTCCATATGGAATTCCGGTGACCATGAGCCTCTACAAGCATAGCTTGGGCATGCGGGAACCAGGACTTTTATTCCAAACCACACGGCCGCTTACGCGGCTGTGCGACATCTCCTTATATACAAAGTGATCAATGGAAAGTAAATCATCCAACTTCTCCCTGAAAATCAGGCTTAACTCTTTTACAAACCACAACACCCAATAGGAGAGAGAGAACAAAAGGGAATGCCCTGCCACAGAGGCAGGTGGGATGGGGGATGGGGGGTGGGAGGAATACTGGGATCCGTGGTGGTGGGAAATGATCACTGGTGGAGGGATGGGTATTCTAAATAAATAAATAAATAAAATAAAAAAGTTCAGTTAGATTTAGGGCTGGAGTGATAATGCAGTGGGTAGGAGACTTACCTTGCACATGGCCAACCTGAATTTGATCCCTGGCATCCCATATGGCATTCCCTGTATGCTGTCAGGAGTGACCCCTGAGTTCAGAGGAAGGAATAAGCCCTGAGCATCTCTGTGGCCCCAAAATATAACAACAACAACAACAACAACAAAAAGTTTAGCTAGACATATCTATTGTGGAATAAGGAGGATCAGATCAAATCAAATCAGTATGATAAAAGTGATGTCCAAAATGAATCAATCAACAGATAATTTATTTTTAAGTATTTTGGTATTTTGGTTTTGGTTTTGTGGCCACACACAGAGGGGCCCTGAGCCCTGCTATGTGTGGTCCCTAACCTTCCCCTCACAAAAAAGGGGGGAAATGTAATGATTATTTTTTCACCAGCAAAATTAAGAAAGTAAGCAATGACCTCATATTTCACGGCAAAATATAAATAAATAATTAATTAAAATACATTTAAAAAATAAACTAATGAAAGGATTTTGATCAACTCACCTAGGACATCCGAAAGACAAATTTTAACAAATATTCATTTTACTTAATTATTTCTTAAAATAATTTATTAATTTTATTTTAGTAAGGAGAATAGAATTTGAAGATGATACACCAAAATTCACTATATGTAGATATATTACAGAATGAGAATGGAGTCTGTGCAATAGACTCAATATCATTAGTCCCTTCAAATATGTTTATTTGCTTATTTTTGTTTTTGCTTTTGGGGCCATCCCTGGTGGTGCTCAGTGCTAACTCTTGGCTATGAGCTCAGGTATCACTCTTGATAGGGCTTGGGGGAATCATATGGGGTTCAGGAGATCCAGCCTGGGTCAGCTGTGTGCTGTCCTGTCACTCCAGCCCCTACAGAGCATGATTTAGAGAATACTGCATTAGAACATAAATTGCATATGTATCAAGCATTAAAATTCAACAGAAGCTGTCTGAGTGGCAAATCCATATACTTTGCATATTATAAAACTTGCAATATCCCTTGAAAGAGCAACAGCTTTGATCCTCTATCTGCTGTGGGTTCATTGCATAACTGAGAACTGTTTCCTCATTGGCTCCTGTTGAGTCATCCAATAGTTGTGTATCAGCAGATGCTCTGTCTGCCTTAGGGGCTTGAAATAAAAACTTTTACTTTGATTCCGTTGTTGATAAGTATCTGTTTTGTTGGGACACGATGCTTATTCCTGATGGGGTTCTGGGGATTGAACCTGGGTCGGTATCATGCAAGGTAAGTAACCTACACACTTTTCTATTGTTTTGACCCCATTGATATCCATGATGGTTCAATGCCTGAGGCAGGTGAGAATCCCAGATGATCTCTCAATCATCCAGATGCCTCCTTCCTCATCTGAGAAGGGACCCTATGGTGGACATCCTTCAAGGGCAGAACCAACCCATGTGCTCAGCAAGGACAAAAGCAGAGATGCCACGTGGTATTCAATGTGTGGTATAAACACTTTGGAATCCTTGACATTCTATGACTACAGGGCATTACCAATTACCATGGAAAACTATTGCACAGAAAATGCAGGCACAGTGAACTTCATAACCTCCCTCTCTAATTATTAAAGGCCACATCACATCTTTAAAGGGGCAACAAAGAGTCTGGAGTGATAGTACAGCGGATAGGGCACATGGCTGACTTGGGTTTGATTCCCAGCATCCCATATGGTCTCCCGAGTACCACCAGGAGTAATTCCTGAGTGCAAAGCCAGGAGTGAGCCCTGTGCTTGCCAGGTGTGATGCAAAAAAAGGTAGGGGGCAGCATAAACTTTTCTGAACACTAGTTTCAATTTTAAAATCACAGCAGGCAAATAAGATTTCTGTATCAACAACCTCTAGCCCCAGAATCCCTCCCCCACTCACAGTTTCATAGCTTGTGTATGTTCAGTAAAAATACCTGAAAAACATGCTATTTCTGGGTGCCTGAAACAAGGGTAGATCCCTGTGATTTGGGTGTCTGAGATTGACATCTTATTCTTTCTTTCTTTCTTTCTTTCTTTCTTTCTTTCTTTCTTTCTTCCTTCCTTCCTTCCTTCCTTCCTTCCTTCCTTCCTTCCTTCCTTCCTCTCTCTCTCTCTCTCTCTCGTTTTGTTTTGGGGCCACACCTGGCGACTCTCAGGGATTATTCCTGCCTTAGCACTCAGAAATTACTTCTGTTGGTGCTCAGGGTACCATCTTGGGTGCCAGGGATTGAACCTGGGTTGGCTGCGTACAACGCAGCTGCTCTCCCCGCTCTGATATTGCTCTGAGATTTTTCATGCCTCCACCAACTGTCGTTTGACTCCTCACCTCTTTTATCCTGTAAAGTTACATTGTGAAGCAAGAAGATAAAAAACACCAGAACTGTTGCATGAAATGTCATCCTCCTTCTGCTTCTCCTGCTCCTTCTCCTCCTTCTGAGACAACCGGTCAACCAGAAAAAAAATCTTTCAGGGGTTTTATAGCCAGGACAGGTCTGCCCTTCTCTCTCCTGCCTCTTGCCTCCTCCCTTCACTTCCTCCTCCTCCTGGCCCCTCCTTTACTCTATTAAACCATCTCCTCTCTGCTTCCTATTTGTCATACCACTTCTACTCTCCTAATCCCCACCATTCTTCTCCTCCTCAAGCTTCTCCTCTTCTTCCTCCTTCCTTTATCCTGTCTTTTACCTCCCTTACCTTCTTCTCTTTTGTCTCCCCTCCTACTTTCCTCCCTCTTCCCCAAGACAGAGACCATCAACTTCTGATGACAAACAAAGAAAAGAAAATAGCTGAGATGACAGCTGGCATCAAACACAGTCCAGTAGGAGCAAAATCCTGGGAAGGGATTGGGAGTTATTTTTGCACCAATCTTCAAGGGCACAGAAGCATTTGGAGGTTAATGTGCTCTTGAATCACCCAAAGCTGGAGAGGCCTTTAGAAACTGGAGGAGCAGGTTTATCTATCTGAAAGCAAATCTCTTGTCTGTACTGTATGCACCTTAAACTTGGGTCACCTGTTCTCTGGATTCCCCTGGCAATTTACCTAATAGACTGCAGGTGTTCTTACAGGTCTGAGGAATCAGCAACACAACATTTATGCATGTCACAATGCTGTAAGGTAAAATTAAGTGTGGCTTTTGTAAAACACCCCATTATTTTGTGCCTGGGATCAAACCCAGGGCTTCTGTATGCTAGGTCTGTGCTATAGATACTCCATTAGCTATAGATACCCCCTTTGTTTTAAATTTATGTTATTTCTGCTTGCCCAAGGAGGACAAACGGGCTGAAAGTGAGCACATCTCATATTAATCCTAATA